TTAATGCCCATATCTTTGAAATCGATCTTCTTGAACATCAATTCTAAGAAGGTGGTAAATAACTTTGGAGATATTGTATCTCCTTGCCTCACACCCCTTCTGATTGGGAACTTGTTCGTGTACTTGTGCAGTTTCACACGTGCCGTTGCTCCAGCGTATATGTTCTTTATAAGAGTGATATATCTGTGATCGATTCTGCATTCAGTTAACACCTCGAGCATTTTTGACTGGTCGATAGTGTCGAATGCTTTCTCGAAGTCTACAAAAATTAGAGCTAAAGGCTGGTTATATTCCACGCATTTCTCAATAAGGGTTTTCATTGCTTGAAGATCGTCGTTAGTACCAAAGCCCGCTCGGAAGCCTGCCTGTTCTACAGGTTAATAGAAATCCAATTTATTCGTCAATCTGTTATAATTTTCATAAACATTTTATATAGATGAGATAGTAGACTAATGGGACGGTAATTTTGTAAGTCTGCAATATCTCCTTTCTTGTGCATGATGGTGATTATTGAGTTGTTCCACACTGATGGAATTTGTCCATAGAACAAACATAGGTTGAATAGCTTACATATAGCTTGGGTCAATATTCGTCCTCCTGTCTTTATCTGTTCAATCACTATCTCATCTTCTCCTGGTGCCTTGTTATTTTTCGTCTCTATCAATGCAGCTTCAACCTCATGAAAGGTAATATCTGGCAAATCTCCCGAGCCCTGGTTTTCAATAGTTGGTAGTTTTGCGTCATTTAAGCATCCTGCTTCCGTTTATAATATAATATAAGTGTCACTCATATTATGTTCGAATTATCAATTTACGTTCACTGATGCCACCAAAAACTGATTTAAATCGTGTTGCCATTTAAACACCCTCATCCTTTGGCTCCAATTACCACTCATCAAGCGCATATGCTTTTGTAGATTGGCAGTCGAAGCAGCGTGTACTCGCCCGAGTCGAGGGTGCGAAAAACCGGTAGTTTCATCTACGAGGACTTTATGCCCACCGACGGCACTGATGTGAAGGTAAGTTCTGGCATGATTTAGCAAGCGCTGCTGTCTTAGTAAAATCCCCGGCTTGTTCTAGGTGTATACAGTGGGCCCGGACTATGCACATGCAGAAGCGCGGAAATCGCCAGCGCTGGACGGCAAAGTGGAAAGGGATCGTGAGGGCAAGGAAATTCGCTACCCCGTAATCCTGAGCAATGCGGAAAAGCTAATTTCGCGCAAAGTGTGCCTGGCTTTCAAGCAGGCGGTGTGCGGCTTTGACTTGCTGCGCGCCAACGGTACGATCGAACTATGTTGGCCCAAAAAACGACGCGTTTCCATTAACTTTCCAGGCAAATCGTTTGTATGCGACGTGAACGGGTTCAGCTTCGTGAAGAACTCCAACAAGTACTACGACGATTCAGCGAAAATCCTAGGCAACATGATTCTAAGAGAGTTGGCTCCGACGCTGCATATTCCATGGTCAGTGCCGTTCCAGCTGGACGACCCACCCATTGTGCCCACAACTTTCGGCAAAATGATGGAGTTGCGCTGTGTCACTGCCGTGATCCGGCACGGCGACCGCACTCCGAAGCAAAAAATGAAGGTTGAAGTGCGCCATCCAAAGTAAGTCCCCACTGCTATCTACCAATGGACTCTTTAAATTCCCTCCCTTTTTAGGTTCTTCGAAATTTTTGACAAATACGATGGCTTCAAGCACGGCCACGTTAAACTGAAGCGCCCGAAGCAGCTTCAAGAGATTCTTGATATTGCGCGCTCCCTACTGGCGGAGATCCATCAGCATGAAGCTGAACCGGAGATCGAGGAGAAACAGGGCAAATTGGAGCAACTGAAGGCCGTATTGGAAATGCATGTTTCAGTGCGATCAGAGCTACAGTTTCGCTAACAATTTGGTTTCAGGTATGGCCATTTTTCGGGCATCAATCGCAAGGTGCAGATGAAGTACCAACCCAAAGGGCGACCGCGCGGCTCAAGTTCTGACGATGGTATATCGATTTGCTTAATTTTTTGTAGGGCTGCAGTCAGCCAACACTGTTTTTACGCGTTGCAATGCGCAATTTCACCCTGATTTCACGAGTTGTTTTAGTAGATAAGCCGGTCGAGCCGTCGCTAGTGCTCATCCTGAAATGGGGCGGCGAGTTGACGCCCGCTGGACGCATTCAGGCCGAAGAACTGGGCCGCATCTTTCGATGCATGTACCCCGGCGGACAAGGTAGACATTTTGCCGGTTGGTATTACGCTTCTTTTTTATTTCGTTTCTAGTTATCGTGCCGCCAAACCGGACGCACAAATGGCTCCACTAGATGAATGCAACCGCTCGCAAAGTGTGCCCTTTTGGAATGCCTGTCTGTGCGCCGGGTTTGTCTATTTTGTTTATTTGCAATTTTTGTTCGTCATCTTCTAACCTGAGTTGCAATAGTTGTCGGAAATTACTCTTTGGGTTCCGTTTTATTTTCGTTTTCCACTACTTAACGTGTGGTGCGTGTGTCCACAACAGTTTAGTTACTCACCGACTTCGCGACAATCAAGTTACGAACCTTTTCCGTAGTGTCTAGTGCAAGGGCGGATCCAGGGGGGGTCATGAATCCTCCCCATTCAATTCTCTATCCAACGATGCCAAAACGAATTCTGTGGCTCGAATGGTTCTTGAGGAACTTCAAAAAAAGCAGCGTCATGTTCAAGTGGGTTTTGCAACTCAAAAAAAAACCACGCAAATCTGAAACTTCTTGAATTCAAGCCTTTTTTGAGAAAACTGCCAACATTTCCCCATCCATGGTTC